ACGCCTTCGCCTCCATAGGTAGTTTTTGGTACGAAAACCAGAAGTGTCCTACTGAGCAAGGCTGTTTTTATATGGGTATTGAAAGTTCCTCTGCACACAGACATTTTCAAGGACAGTGCTCCCTGGTTTTGGTCATGCAGACCCACTTCAGCTCTGCAGCCAAAGCAAGTCCTGCCTTTGCTTTGATGACTGGTAATAAAAGTGCTTTCTCGGTAGTTTCCTCTGCCAGAACTGGTGGAGGAAGAACTGTTGCATGGGTACGTGGTGGCCTGACGAACAGTTATTAAGACTGATTTTAATGTATGGAACTTGTGTGTTTGGTTATTACAAAGGGGAAATGCTTTTGCTTATAGATGGAGCAAATCCACTTCAGAAGTTAGAATGACAGTACAGGGTGATTTTATAGAGCAGAATTAGACTCTGACAAGGTTTATTTTAAAGAACCTCAATAATCTCTGTCTCAGGACCTACTTGTAGAAAGCTTTAATTTTTCTCAGCATATTTCCATTAAATTACTTAAATACATAAAAACCGGTACCTCTGACCTCTCCCTTTCTCAGTCCAAGATAAAGAGCTGGATTACAGTCAAGTGGCTTGTAATTTCTATACTACCAAATAAAAAAGTCAATACAGGTTTGGTAATAGTAGATTAGCATGTTTTTACATAACATAAAACTAGAATGTTCCAGTCAGTCAAAAGTATTTTTTAAGCAAGCAGACAAATTTTTTTCCTAGTCTTATTGACAGTAGTTATTTTTCTTCAAAAACTTTGAAGTTGATAATCTTTAAAATTTTCTGTATTTAAAGACTGAATATTGCTATTTGCCTTAGAAGCCTGGGAATACTACCAGATGCCTGTTAATCTGTGGTTTACTGTAGCTAGTCTGGTAAGTGCTATCTTTCTGAATGAGGAAAGCAAACAGCTGCTGAAATGCATTGAAAAAGTCATGTTCTTCTAAGACAAGGATTTGTACAGAAGCATATTCTAATTGGAATTTTTTCCACTGCTTCATGTAGGGACAGACTTAAGGTTTCTACCACCCTCACCCCTATTTTTCCCCCCCTTATTTTCTTTTTCTTTTCTCCTTCTGACTTCTTTTTTTTCTTTTTTTTTTCCCCACAACCTTTTTTTCCCCCTCAGTAATTCCCAGGCCTAAATTAAACAGAAGAAACAATATTTAGTTCTCCTAAAATGAAGCCAGGCCATCCAGATAAACTGCCTGTTTCTTTGTCTAACAGAGACTGCATGTTTACTAAGTCTGTAGTTAAACATAATGATAGAACATATTTTCCTCCTCCCTCTGGGTCTCATTAATGTGTGCAATTGGTTGAAATAGGAGACTTTAGCATGGCTATATTCAGAGGGCTTTCCAATTTCTCAATGGTTTGAGAATCCTCTACCCTGTTTTTCCAAAACCTTAGTTATGCCAAATTAGCATCTCATAAAATGAGGCCTATCTACTTTAGTATCTCTGCTGTGTTTAAGCGTATTTTCCCTGGATGTGTTGTTTTGAAACCTATTTATGGTCAAAGCCCTATTGCATTCAGGTAACAAAGACAATCACAACTCTCCTGTATTGTTTTTCAATGTCATAATGTGTACCACTTGACCATTTCCTTTTAGGGACAACAGTGCCACTGAAAATCTTAATGGATGTGACAGAATAAATTAACTGAGTCCTTCTCAGCAGAAAGCATTGTGTCAGAAAAAAAAATGGCAAAGATACTGCATCCTACTTTCAAACCAGCTGATACAGGATTTGCACAGCCTTCTGCAGGTTGTCAGAAGTTTGTTCTGTGGGAATATGAACTCTTTCCTTCCTCTAAGTTGGCTAGAGATCCTCTTTATGTGGTATGAGCCTCAGAGGGGCACTTGAAGCAGGAGAGGACTTTGTGGGAAGACCTTGTTCATAGCCATCCGCACAGAAAGTGCTGGCACTGGCAGAGCTTTGGGCATTCCAGGCAACATCTGGCTGGTGTAGTGGTACCTAAACCTTAGACATACTCTTTCCTATTGAAATGCAGACTTATGCTTGTCACACCAAAAATAAGATTAGTTAAGCCACAAGACAGAAAGCTGCATAAAGTAATCCAGAAAACCACGAGTCTTTGACTGGGAAAAAACCAATCAAACACTAACTTCCAATTTCTGAAAAGTGCTTTACTCCACTAAGAACGCATACACCTCCTCAGTGCTGGAGGGCAGGGGAGTCAGATATCACAAAACAAAACCCAACAAAACTAAAGTTGACTAAACCTGCCAAATAAAGATTTCTTGGTCCAGAGGAGACTGGGTGTTTGGGAATATTTGCTGTTTGGTCAGAGTGCCTTCATAGCTCTTTATTGAAGCAAGGCCTGTGACCCACACCTGTCCACCCAGCCAAGTACTGGAAACACCAAGCTGTGTGGTCTTTGTTTTTACTGTCACCTGGTGGGCCATTATTTACCCGGTGCAAAGTGGAACAGCTTCAGTTAGAGGGGTGCAGGAGACCCTCTCCAAGTTGTATTTGAAGGGTTAGAGCAGTACTATGGAACTTATGCATTATAATCTTGTTAGACAGATAAGCACATTCCAAGGATATTTATTTCTGGTTCCTGATTAAAAGAGAGAAGAGTCCTTTTTCTTCTGCTCATGTTTTGTGTGGAAAGCCTATTCCCTTACATGTCTTGAAAAACATCAACTTGAATGGGGTCTTACAGGTGAGGCAAGTGGGGTGGAAAATGAAGCTAGTGATCTGTACCTGAGGTTGTGATGAAGCCCAGTCTCAGCAGAGTAAGTGCTCAGCCTCTGGATTTCTCTACATGGCAAACAGCTGCTGAGCCAGCCATGCAAGGCTGAGCATCTGCATCCCATCTGCATGGTCATGCAAGTACAGATTTCTTCAGCAAATAAATTAATTTAGAGTGTCCCATATCTTGGAAAGTTGAGTAATCACCAAGCTTTAAGTCCTTTAAATGGATCTAACTCGAGTTACATGTTCAAAATAAAACATAGTTGTGTTTTTGCATGCTTGTAACCTATCATGTCACTGAACGGCATTAGAGGTCTAAGAGAGAGATTTTCTGTGGTTTCAGGAAGTTCCTTGTCCTGTTGTTGCTGTGCAGAAGGGCCATGCAAATTCATACCATCCCTAGAGCCAAAGTAAAGCAGCTATTCTTCTCAGTGAGAGCCAGGATTGTGCCTGCTGCATTGTGTGCAGTCCAGAACAGCAAACATCTATCACAGTGAACTCCCAGGGCTCAGCTGTGCCTTAAGGACATGGTTTAGCTTTTAACAGAGCTGATCAGCACACAATGTGCTGACTGTCATTCCTAAAGAACAAAATGACAGATGGGCTTATGATACGTTTGTCTGGAGATGGGCTGAGAAAAGCAAGTTGGTTACTAATTACCTTCTCACCATTGAAAGGAGAAATGTCCCCATGCTTGACACAATTTGCATGGACATGGAAAACTAATGAACGTTTTCATCCTCAGCTGTCCCAGAGTGAGCTTCACACCATTGTCTCCTGTGTGGCCTTGGGAGTTCAATCCGTTTGAATGCAGTCATTTGCATTCAGCAGGGTAGCACCGTCACAACCTGAGAGTTCAAGTTTAAAATTTTATCTCTGTCATCAGGATGCTGTGCAACTGGAGTGCTGCTGAGTAACATGGGTCACACTGGTTATTGTTATCATTGCCCCTTTTCATTGCACATTTTTTTTCTTTAAGCTCTTTGCATCTGATTATCAATAAAATAGTTTTTCTTTCAGATATTATTCGGGTTACTATTTCTAAACCGGTATAGCTGCTCTTATGCAGAAAGAATACCCCTGATATGCTGTGAGTTAATGCATGAAACTGTGATTCCATTTAGTTGTTGTAGTTATTTTTATTTGTTATGTAGGGTTTGGGATGAACTCAGACACATGAGAAATCGCATCCAGCTGCACAAGAAGACCCAGTAATCCTAGGATGTAAGGTATCATAGAGGGTGAGCTAAAGTGTCAGGATTGCATCCCTAATGACTTTAAATTACACTTAAAATTGGTTACAGATAAGTGCTGATAAGATTCTTTGTTTGAACAGCCTTTATAAGGTATTATTCATTACATATTTCATTTGATTATTTTTTAAATGATGCTTTAACACTTATGTCCTGTGACAGGCCTACTATTCTAACAATTTAGTAAGTAAATACATTAAATACTGCAAAAATAAATTTAGATTATCACTTAATCCTATACCTAAAAAGGTTTGGGTTTGGAAATATTTTCAAAATTGATCAATAAAATTTATCAACTCAGACTCCAGAATTCTTCACTAGGTCTTGGCATAATGAAAGATGATCATGGAGGTGGTGGTAATGCTAAAAGCAGTATACTGCTTGCCTAGGCATGAAAATGCAAATTATTCTCAGGGCTGGATTTGAAAAGTAAAATTGGAACTGTGAAGCATAACTATCTGACAGTGGAAACAGCACCTGAAATCTGAGGGAGTATAGCTGCTGCTAATATTTAGGTAAATACTCTAGGCTGTTTTCTTGGAGTTGAAAACTGATGCAAAACCAATTTAACCAATGCAGTCAGTATATGTTAGGTATTCTACTTGTTTAATTTTTGAGACTGCCTTGACAGCAGTAACGTGGCTGACCCTTAATGGCAGCAGTTTATTTTGCTTTGGTAGAAGTATGGTGGTTTTTTATTGTTGGTCTAATCAGTAGCAGGGGGTTACATCTTCTTGTGGGTATAGTTCAGAGTTTCTGGCTGGCTAATCTGAAGAAGGTAATTCCAACATTTTAGTGCTGCTCACAGTCTAGGAGAGCTAAAAAAAAAATAAATCTGTTACTGTAATCTGAGCCTTTTTAATTTTGAAAACAACCCCCTTCAAAACAGATTTCACCATCTAATTCTGTTACTTTTGGCCTTTTCAGTTTATCTTTCTTTAGCTTGGCTGATCTATTTTTCTTCTTTCTCCTTCAGCTTCTTGGTTCCCTCCTAATATTCAAAGCACAAGCTGTATCATTGTGGTGACAAAGGGTGGGTTTCACCTTCTCCACAGCACTCAGATATTTTCTTCATGGCTCTCCGTGTGAAGTCCACCTTCCCTCTTTCTTTCCTGAGAGCTGTGTACTCGTAGGCCTTCAGCTTGCTGTAATAGTCTGAGAATTTGTTGTAGAGAATAGAGATGGGCATGCCATTCAGGATTATTCCAAAAGCAATGCAGAGGAAAGCAAACAGGCGACCAAGGTGAGTTTCTGGACACATATCTCCATATCCCACTGTAGAGATGCTTACCTATAGGCAAACCAACATTGAGCCTATTAGCTGAGAAGAAATATATAAACAGGTGTCTTCACTGTTCAGGGACAATTTTAAAGTTAACGTTTTTGCACATTGCATCATAAGTCTGAAATACTCTGTACTTTTTTTTTCCCTGTACCATCCATCTTATGCAGAATATCCCTAATTTTTTAAAAAATTAACAAAACAAACCTCTCATGAAGGAAAGAAAGACAATGGTTTGACACTAATCAGGAAGATTTTTAGAAGCTTTGCCCTGCAGATGGAATTTCCAAAGAATTTCTGCACCAGCCTGTCCATAAGGTGGCTTTACTTGGCTCAAGTGAGAGGATCAATGTGGGTCCCTGACCGTGCAAATCCACTGTTAGCTGCAACCCTGCTCCCTCATCATGTCACTTGGAACAGATGCCCTGTTTCTAAATCCAGTGTGCTGATAAAACCTGGTATTTGGGACTTATCCCATGGGTTGTATTTTGAGTTTTACCTTTGCTTCTCATATATATTTCAGGAGCTAATGAAAAACACATTAAATCTTCAGCCATTTGTGAAATTTATTTTTGTAATATTTGCACTATAGAAAGGCATGATCCAGGACTGAAGTTTCTAGGTAAAATTCCCTTTAATGATTACATACTTACAAGGAACTGTAGCTGGGTTTTGCTTGAAGTGTATGCTTGCAACATATATATTTATAGTGCTAAATGGGTACTCAGGTGAGAAAGTTTTGCTGAATTCCCTTTTGTAGAAGGGTTTTGGGGTTATTTAAAATGTTTTGGATTTGATTGTTGGGGTTTTTTTTTTGCGAGTGGTGGTATTTATTGTATCTGTTTTATATAAACTTCTACACTTTGCCATCACATTGTCTACATAATTTCAAATACTTTTTTTCTTCTCAACCATCAGCATTTTATCTTTTTAGCCTATGGATATATGAAGGAACTGTGTTATGGACCCAGTACTATACCAAATACTGTAATACTTCTGTTGTAAAATTCAGTGTAAAAAAAAGAATGGATTTTTGATTATGAGGATGCTGCATATGATTTATGTACTCTCAAACAGATGGCATAAAATAACTCCTAATTTATATACTTCCACTGCACATATCTTGATTTTCAGTAATTTTCACATGTAGTAAATATACCTTACTTTTCTCTGGCAGGTAAAGCTTGCAGGCTTCTGCTACATGGCACTTCCTAGTCTGTGCAAGGGATCTTTTTCAGCCAATGAATTTTATTTAATTTTATCACAGTGTCTCAACACACTGTGAATAACTGTGAAACAGTAATCTGAAACTTTGGCAGAAATAAATCACAGAGAATAGGACACTCGCTGTAATGCCCTTGTGGCTTTATCACTGAATCAAGTCTTTGGAAGGTCATGGTGTGCAGCCTGCCATGCTCTAAAATGCTAAATAAAATGTTATTTCAAATGAAGAAAGCATTAGGGTATATGAGAGCACTGGATGAGCACATTTGTAGGATGCACCTGGTGCTTCCTGTGGAATAAAAAGGATTAGTCACTTGGTTTAATGGAAATTAAGTCACTGGATTTGAATGATAATACAGGCTAAATATCTCCAAAAATAAATACGGAGATGAAGGCAAGATGTTTATCTCTACCAGCCAGGACAAAAACAGTATCCAGTGCTAAGGTTCTGTTCCACTGGCATAGTCTTAAACATTGCCTGTAACAGTTTAGGAGGAATACTTCTTCTGCATGTGTAAGAGCATGAACACTGTTGAATTTTAATAAAATTTGAGTGATCCAGGTATTTTCATTTACAGTCTTAAACAATGAATATGCTTTAAAAAGAGGTTTATGCCTTGAAATTGCAATGTGCATGTTACAGCTCCTGTTTTGAAGGCACTTTCTCAGCTAAATAGTAATTTTTCACATAGTCATACAAGTTCTTAGGAATATCTAAATTATTATGGTGTCACCAGTTTGCAGAAATGAGCCCTAAAGATTTTGCATGTAAGCTGCACATTTAGAAAACAAAATATAGTGTTCTTATTCTAATAATGTATGAAGCATGAATGTTTTCATAACCTCTGTGTATCACTTACAGGTGACCTGGGAAGGTCACATTACATGACCCTTTCCTTTATTCATTGATTTTCCTCTCCTTCCCATGTCCCAGCTTGAAGGATATTCAGCACAGGTACATATATGCACGTGCACATATAAATGTCTATTCATGTCTGCACGGCCAATTTTTCTGCCAGACGCTGAATCACTACAATCCTATGTGTGGTTAATCATCACACCTCATTTGCCACTACTGAGCCAGAAGGGCAGACCATGGGCTCTGGAATTGCTGGCCAGAAGTGACCATGGATGGGTTGGGATTGCAGTCTTGTGGGCCCCATACATAGCTCAGTGCATCCAGTGTCTGTGTTGATCGACTAGCATGAGATGTTCTAACTCCTTTCCAGTCCATTTGCATGGGCTTCTTTCCCCAGGGGAGTGACTGGTTCAGAGCCAGACTCCCAACCAGGCCCGGGGGGCAGTACTACTCCTGGGGCCCCTCATAAACATTTATGATTATGGAGGCCAGCATCAGCTGTTGCAAAACAAAGTATATGTCATGATAAACTAGGACAAGTCTTAAGGTTATTGATGGCCAAGATATGGGCCCTTTGCCTTCTCTCAGCACCTGCAATGTCTAGCTAACTTCTGGTTTCATCCAGGATCCTATAGATACACTCATCTTCTGCAGCACCACAGTACGTAATCTATTGTGTAAAACAGCTGTTGGTCCTAATGAATCTTAAACAGCCCAAAGCTTTGAGACAGCTTTAGCTTTTTAAGTTTGGGTGACCAGACTATAGCTAATAAACTATGTCTTATCATCTTGCAGTTCTATGATGGTCACAGAAGATCTGCGTAAAGAACAAGAATGAAAATCCTGTGTCCAGCTGCAACCAGACAGCCTGATTTTTTTCCTTTTTTCTTTTTTTGGCAACACTGAGAATGGCATTAAATGGGAAAATGCTTTTTGTTTCCATCTTTTCACCCACTTCTTCTTTAAATGTGTAAATACTCTCTGCATTGGGTCAGATGGGAATTTCAACACTGCCTGCCTGATTAAGCCTTGCTTTAAGCTTACAACAGCGGTGAATGAGTGCATGTGTGTGTGGGCCAGTGCATATATCCTGTAAGCTTAGAATTCAGAGCAGATGTTCCCCGATCTGAGCCTGTTGTTTTCAAGACTGCCAGCAACTCCTCCCTTCTCTGAACACATACTTCTTAACTGTTGAAATTCTGTGACTCTCTGGCTACCCAGCAAAGGGAGATGTATTTACTTACGGCAGCCCACCACCAAGCATGGGGGATGCTGGTGAAGTTGGTACTGGAGACATCATGCTCCACGGTGTAGACCATGGCAGAGAAGGCGAAGATCCCCATAGCAATGAAGAGCAAAAGGCAGCCCACCTGCTGGTAGCACTGGCGCAAGGTAAATCCAAAGGCACGCAGCCCTGTGGAGTGGCGGGCCAGCTTGAGGATGCGGAATATGCGCATGAGTCGCATGATGCGAAGCACTTGTCCTACCTTGCCCACCCGTCCCACCTTCTCAATATCATGCTCATGCTGAGAGCCGCGACCCCGGGGCTGGTCATCATCAGGAAAGCACTCGAGCAGCAGCTGATAGAGGGGCAGGATGGCAATGAGGTCTACTGCATTCAGGGCGCTGCTGGCAAAGCGTCGCAGGTCTGGGGTAGAGACCAAGCGCAGCAGGTACTCCAGGGTGAAGAATGCAATGCACAGGGTCTCAACATGCTCCAAGACAGGCCCACTATCCCCATTCTTCCAGTCTGATTGCTGCATCTCCTCCACTGTGTTGAGTGCGAGGGCCACCACAGAGATGAGCACAAAGAAGCATTCAGGGCGCTGCTGGCAAAGCGTCGCAGGTCTGGGGTAGAGACCAAGCGCAGCAGGTACTCCAGGGTGAAGAATGCAATGCACAGGGTCTCAACATGCTCCAAGACAGGCCCACTATCCCCATTCTTCCAGTCTGATTGCTGCATCTCCTCCACTGTGTTGAGTGCGAGGGCCACCACAGAGATGAGCACAAAGAAGCTGGAGGCCCATTATCTT